ACATAGTGGTTCGCGTCTTTTTCTTGCAGTAGACAGTTTATACATTGTGATTATGAGCCCATTCAACGCTACACTTGACACAGAAAGACAACTGTGGAGGACTCTCTAGCCTGTGCTTTAGCCCTTCTTTCCCGTGCTTTTGTCCGTCTCTTGTTCTCTGTCGCATTGCTCATTACAAAGACTGAATAAAGTCATTCATTCTTGTCCTTTTATGTGGATTTCCAACAGCAAAGAAGCACGAAGTAACAAAAACAAACGCTAAATCAAGCATGGACTACGCTCACGGCACAGCCTGGATATCTAGATAGTAAAAGAAGCACTAGGTCTTATGGTTGACCACTCAATTTAGACCACCTCCGATTGAACGGCCCCCTTTGAAAGGGACTGCCCAACCTTGATGGTGTCCGGCCCGAGTCGTCACGTTGCTCACGCTCCCTCTGCGGTTGCTTGACGTCTCCCTCCAGCCCGAAGCCGTACGTCTCGACGCCTCCCGCGTGCGGATCCTTGGGTACGAGGCCGTAGCCGACCTTGGCGCCGGCGACGGGTCGATGGTCGCTGTTTGGCGTCGTTGCCCAAGGGAGCTTCTCGAGGCCCGGGCCGCGGGTTGCCGCGACGATGCTGCTGAAGCGCGTATTGCGGACGAGGCCCTCTTCGCGGACGGCGGCGAGACCAAAGGCCACGCCAACGATGGCGAGGAGGATAGCGACGGAGTAGACGGCCCAGAGGTCGCGGGCGTGGTACTTGTAGCGGAGGTCGGTCCGCTCGCGGGTGCAGGGGTAGGTGTGGTTGTCACCGAGACGGGTGCCCGTCTTCTCGCTCGTGTCGTTGGCCCAGACGACGGCGAGGAGGCGTGGCTGAGAGAACATGGAGATGAGGATGTCTTCGTAGAGGCTCTGGACCTGGAACATAAAGTCCTTGACGACGAGGTAGTTGTGCTGGTCGAGAATGCGCGTTTGCAGGATTTTGGTGTTGGCGTCGGTGTTGGGTTGGAAGATTGTCCCGTTGATGTATTGGCGGAATTGGTATCCGATGGAGTGATATGCCATCGTTCTACGGTAACGAGCCACGTCCTGCGGGAAGATGTAGTTCGATTCCGGGGTGCCTGTGGTGTTGTCCGCTGTTCCATCTTGAGCGTCGACGCCGGGGAGGTAGCGGGTATCGACGATGCGGTCGAAGAACGTTCGCTTCCGGACAGTGGTCTTTTGAGTGAGACCCGTGTAGTTGAAGTCGACCTCATACTCCGTCTCACGATGCTCGCAGCCAAACACCTTTGGGGTGTAGGCCGTTTGCCATTCGGGTAAGGTGGGGTCCATCGGCTGGGGATCGGATGGCTCGTCGACCTCAGCGATGCCGAACCAGAGCACCGGCTCCACACGGAGCGCGCCGAGGTTTTGCGGATATGGCGGTGGCGTGTTGATGACGCCTGCGGAGCCAGTGTCGTTCATCTGAGGGTTCTGGTACTCGCCAGCGGTGGCATGAGCAATGTAGGTATGATTGCCCACCGGGGCAAGCATGCTCATGTTGAAGGGCATCTCGGCGCCGTTGAGCTTCTTCGGTGTCGACCCGACGCCGCTGGCAAGCTCTTCGCACTTGTATCCGGGGCCCTTGAACTGAATGGTGAATGAACAGTTCCAGCCCATGCCGCAAACATCAAGACTTGCATTCGTCCGCGAGAGCGGTTTCTTGCCTAGAATTGCTGAAGTAGATATCTCCTCGAATTGCCAGCTCGTTCCGATCCAATAGTCAAAGAAGTCTTCGCTGGACTGATTCAAGGTAGTTGTGTTCCATAAGGAAGTGGAAAGCTCAAAAAGGTTGTTAATCTTCGTCCCTGTACGAAAGTCATTGGTTTCTTCTTGAGCAAAGTTGAGAGTGCGAATGGATGGGCACGTCGTGGTCTGGCGTGTCGTCGCAGGTTGAGCAGTTAGAGTGTCTGAGGTGAGAACCACGACAAGAGGGGTACACCACACATAGATGGCCAAGATCATGGCGATCCTAGCTTGGCGGAAGACTTCAATGTTGAAAATGGCAGTCATATCTTCCGCCGCGGCAAAGAGCGAATCCACGGCAGCGAGGGTGAGCATCTTTCGGCGGACCGTCATCCATACTCTTTGTCGGAAGGCTAGGATCACAGCCGATCCAAGACTTGCCTTGCTGAGGAATGACAATGCAGCGCCGTAGCGCAGCATGCGAATCTGGCCGTTGGCCTCTGTTCCGTCAAGGCCGGCATAGAAAAAATGGTGGCCGAGGGCAAATGCAATCCCGGCGAAGAGGAAAAAATACATATTCCATGACGGGTGCCAGTACTTGTTGAAAAGCCGAATTTGCTCCGGGGGATAATACATCGACTGCGGTCGATTAGGCGGAGGACCATGCCACGGTGGTGAGAGTAGACCAGTCGCCGAGGACTGAGAATCGACTCGAGCGCTTCTATGTCGTTTTGGTGGAAGCCCTCCAGTAGAAAGTCCGCCCGTATACGGCGTGCTTAGGCTGGAGTAAGAGGCAGAATAGTTTGAATACCCGTGCCCATCCATTTGCAATGGCGCCGGCCTCGGTCGCTGAGAAGACGCATTATTTCCGCTCGCCGGTGCCGGGAAATACGCTGCGGCGCCGGCAGCTCGTTCGGAAAAGGACGGTTGTGGTGATTTGGCGGAAGGCGTCGGCGGGCTTCTTCCGAAAGGCCCGTACGGGCTGCCGATGGGTGCCGGCGTTGTCGGCGTCTGTGGCCCGTTGATCGGCTTCCGAGCAAATTGGCGAGTGGGATGCCACTCAGCCGACGGCGTCATCTGAATATCATTTTGATCTTGAATGTCCCTTTCCCGCAGGCCTAGCCCTTCGTCGCCGGGTTTGCCCTCCATCATGGCTGGTTAACCCAGGCGGATGAGGCCCAGGGATAGAAGATGAGGTGGTGTTGGTGGTGGTTTGAGGGAATGCGACAACCAGACAGTGACGTTAGTCGGCGTGGCACAAAGTCTTGGCTATTGGGTGGTCGCCCTAGGCACATTTGACAATTGAAATCGCCAGCGAGGTCAATCTGAAAGATCGCAGAAGTTGGATCCTCTGAGTCTCAACAACTTGTTGGGCTGGATGGCTAAGTTGTGTGGATTGCCATTCGAAGTATTCTGGGCAAGCGACATCCAACGAGGAGGGAGGGCACCGCTGCTGAAGAACAAAATCTCTGGAGAACAATAGAGTGAGAGGGGAAGTACGAATTGAGGGGAAGCAATGAGAGAAAGACAACTGATAAGACAGCTTGCATGTTGTCTCGTAAGGCTTGCGGAAACACAGCTACCAACACTTGCCGGAGGTGATGGATGCATGTGGCTCCTCCCGCCCTCCATCTCCGGACGTACGAATAACGAACAAGGGGAGGGGCGATGCGACTTGCGTCGAGCTGCACTTGACTTTACGACTACCTTGCCTGGTCACTACTTTGGGGCTGGCCACTGCAGCCAAGTTGGCTCAGCTCGAGGTGATGGCGCAGGACTGGCGTTCCCGACCAACATTGGGGGTAACTGATGTGCGTGATTGGTGATGGCTGCATGTGGCGGCCGGGATATGTCTCGAGAGAAACCCGGGAGCCTTGTTGGTCCCTTCATATTCTGACATCTGGGCTTGACCATATGCTGCTGCCTTTGATCGCACTCGCAGCCGTGAATGGCTCTGTTTGATGAGGTGGGACGAGGTTCTCCGTCATCATCTAGACGCAGCTGAGGTTACATTCCCCTTCTCATCGGGAGGATTCAAAGAGTTTTCCATGGGTGACACCGCCTCGTGGGGCCGAAGAGGATGACAGTGAGATGAGAGATGGGACGTAAGTTGTGGTAGTTCCAACGCAACCTGCAGGGTTGATGATGAGGTGAGATGACGGAAAATGAGAGTTTGGGGGCTGTGACTGAGTCTGCGTCGTTTCCCACACCAACGGACACTGAGCTATTGAAGGATGCCTCCTCGTGGACAGTATCAAGCGAAGGAGGATGCTCTCGAATTCAAGGGTCGAGGATTTCAGACATTTTGAAAAAGTCTCAGTGTCCATACACTCAAGGTAGTCATCCGACCATGAAGCAAGATATCTTGCCAACTTCCATACCCTGGCCACCCAAGTATGCGGTTGATGGTAACCTTGTGGATAGGCTATAGCCAAATTCAGCATGAGAACTAGGTAGCATAGGCCCGTCCGCCACCGGGGTTGGGTGAAGAACGACATGAGTGACCGACGCAAAGTGGGCAACGGCTGTGCGATATGAGAATCCCGAGAATTGTGTGCCGCCGCTGCTGCGATACCCAAGGGCGGCGTTCAGTTGGTCAAGGGGACTGACAGCATAAAGCTGACATGCATCTTCAGCGTGCCATCTCGTACCCGGAAGAGACCGTTGTCTTTTTTGGCTTTTCTAGTCCTCCTGTAACTCAGGTGCCACCCTTCGCTGGTGAGCCTTGCGCCGTTCAGCTGACGAAAAAACTTGCTTTTGGCCGTCTGACTTTGTTTCCGATCTCGTCCATCTCCGGTTCAGCCCTACGCCTCTTCGCTGCTCCCGGCCACAACTGCGACAGCATCAAAAGTATGCCATGCCTCTCCCACTATATTAGCGGAGACTAGATCGATTGAGCTTTTTCAATTTGCTGACTGACAATTACCGTATGCGACTGGCATCGTTCGCTTTTCATAACGCCGTCCCTGCACGTAGCCCGCCCAGTGCGATGGAAATTCGAGTACAGAAAATGTGTTTCTTGCGTGTAAATTGCGATACTATCTACTGTTCTGAAATAGAAAAGTTTTGATCGCTCAAAGATGATGTAACAATAATCGTCAGTATGTTTCCCTCTTGGATGAATAATGTATTCCCGACAACAATGCAAAGTGAGGGCCGATTCCAAGCCGCGTCCTCCCTTATGCGTACCAATTATAATCCCAACTCCGTCCAGGCTGGGAAACCGCCCAAGCCATATGCATCATTTCCATTCTTCATTGTCCTCATCTGCAGCGTCTTCTTCATGGTCACATCCTAGAACACCAGAGCAGAAACCCTTTCATCTCTATCTCTGTGCTCCTTCTCCTTCTTCTTGAACAGGGACTTGAGCATGTTGTTTTTCTTGGGTCGGAGAACCGCTTCGATAGCCTCGTCTTCCTTCTGGCGACTGCCGTCCTCAATTGCTAGTGTCGGCGCGCGTGTACTGCGCTTGGAAGCAGAGCTGCGGTGACTTCGGTGGCTGCTGGCGACACTCTCGGCGTCTCTTTCAGATCTCGCAGCCTCGGACCTTGCAACACTGCTCTTGCGTTCGGGCACCTCGGACTCGCGGATGCTGCGATGCGACCTAGATGAGTGGTGCGACCTCTCCGACCTCTCGGTCCTCTCCGTCCTCGAGCTGCGGTGCGTCTTGGAACTGCGTTGTGTCCGGAAACTCCGCTCAGTACGGGTGTCGTCTCCAAGCATCGAACGCGCGGCCTCAGGGCTGATGAGCTCCATATCAACACTCTCATCATCACCTGCAGGGGCGATCCCGCGGCGCCAACTCTCGATGGAGCTAAGCTCCTCGTCAAGTCGAGGATCAAGAACATATGCCTCGTCGTAGGCAACGCTCCCCTCGCGGACGCTCCCTTCCCGCACGCTTCCCTCCCGTGGCTGCTGGTAGGGGTCATACTGGTCGTACTGGTCGTACTGATCGTGCTGTGCATACTCGATGGCCTGTGGTGCGGGTTGTGCCTCGAAGGCCATTGCGTTGGCGATAGCTGCCTGTTTCTGGGCCTGGGCGTCCTTTATCTGCTTCACAATCTTCCACCCGCCGAACATGACTACCGTGAGGCCGATACTTGCACCGGCGGCAATGAGAAATTGAGGCGATGCCAAAAGCGCAAACACGGCCGGCGAGCCTCCTTTGATCACAGATAAGAAGGCAGGCGACATCTGTTTCAAGAGCGTGGACAATTCCGCTAGCGTCAAGGCAACAGCGGCGGCGGCATCGGGATTTCCTTGCAGATGAGCGATGGTAGCGGTCGCGGAGTGGTGTGCGCATTTGGCTTCGTCGAGGAGTCCCTCGACCCTGGAGATGAGTGTCTTAGCCTCCTTCTCCTTGGTCAGGGGATCCAGATCAGTGCGATCCTTCAGATCGGGAGGAATGTTGCCGTATGCGAGGTCCATATCGATTTCCTTCTCTTTGCGACCCTTGGGTATAACAGGCGCGGACATGGTACGGGGAACCATGGATCCACGGATTGTTGCCGAGTCTGCGAGACTGTCGCTGCAAGACGGGGCGGTGGTGTAATGCGGCAAGGTCGGGCGGCTCAAAGCCACATCGCGGGGAGCCGTTTCGGCATAAGGAGCACGGTATGCAGAGGGAGGCGCTCTTGATGGCGTGAAGCTGGAGACTTCGGAATGTGTCTTGAGGTTGTTCTCGGTCAGAGCAGGTCTCGAACGTGGATAGTACTCGACATCGCGGTGGCTTGACTGGGAGCGTCTCGATCGATGACTTCTCCTGGAGCTGGCGACAGAGCGGCCATCGTCGTGCGAGTAGCGGCGATCAAAGGCTTCGGGAGGGAGATCGCGAGAAGTATCAAAGGTCTGGGCGCGCTTCAGAACCTCCCGGTCGGCCTTGATGGCCGCCTTTTTCTCCTGGTAGGAAGCCTTGGCTTCTTTGAAGATACCGGCCAGGTGTTTTCCCTGCAGAAGCGAAGATGATACGTCAGCTATTGGGCTTCATCGCTCGGCTGAGAGTTGTAGTGCGTATGCATTGTTTGCATGTCGAATGTTGTTGCGCGCAGTTCTGACGGCCGAATTCAAGGGCTGGATCGAGTGGGCATGGAGTCTGATGAGGGGCGGTGGGGGGGAATGCAACGGGTGTGAGCCAGAGAAAGAGACTTACGGTACTTATAATCTTGCCCGAATTGTTGATGATAGTGACTGTCTGCGTGAGGGCCATGATGATATATCTCAGTTCACCTGCTCGGCGTCTTTCACCGAGCAAGTGATGTGTATGTGTGAGAGAGTGTGCGAGTGTGTCAAGGCAGAGGAAGAGTGTGTGAGAGACACACACACAGGCGGTGACCTAGTATGGTGGTGTTGGTGCGGGCGGTACTAGTCGATTTTGAAGCTTTCCCTTCTTTTAAGTGACGACAGGCTCTAGGGTGCTACGAGACGGGCTTGGCTTGGCCAAGAAGGTTCCGTCAGGACTCTGAGAGGAAGAGGGAGGCTGGTCTCAGAGGGAGCCCAGTCCACCGCCAAAATAGAACCCGTCTTGTTCGTTGTCGCGGGGAGCCACTTGAAGGGCACTCGGGGCACTTCTGGGCGCCTTTGGGGGCAGGGTCCCTCGCTGTTGACGATGCGGTGAAGGAAAGGAGGACCCTAACAATACTCCACCGTCACAGTTCCAAACGGAAGCGAGTACCGACTTGGGTGACAAGGGGTGGAGGACACCGAGGACGGGTTTGCAAATCGGCCCCCACAAAGTCACAGAAACGGGTCAAGACTCAAGACCCCCCCCAGAGATGCTGTGGCACTCGTGGCAGTGGCACTGAGAAGATCGCGGTCCGTGGGAGGTTTAGCCGTTGATGTTAAAGTGGACGACGAACAACGGCTGGCAGCCGGACAAAAGCGATGTGGGGATATAGAGGCTGGGAAACGTGCAGGTCTCTTTCTTGCCTGGTATCTGTAGAGGGGACGTCGATGGAGATGTTCTGTCGTTTTCTGTCAACGGTATGGGAGATTCCGATAGGACGGTGTGAGATGCAGGTGAGCGTTTGGTATGTGTTTGTACGGATATCCCGGTCTCTCTCTCTCTCTTTCTCTCACTTGCGATGCGTAGTGAGATGGATTGCGAGGCCACGATATGTTGGCTGATATGAGAGGAAAAGAGCGGGGAGGGAGGGAGGTCGCAAGAGAAATCGAGAAACGGGGGACGATGCGGCATGAGAGGGGCTCTTCGACATGAAATACAACGGCGGACAGCATCGGCTCACAATTACACGCCATGACTGGCTTCCAATCTTTGCGAAAACATTGGAGGTGAGCCAGTGAGAAGGTAGAAGCCAAATGCCCAAGCCGAATTAATGAGTGAAAGCCCAGTGATGGGAGCGCAAGTCTGCCCCTTTCGCGCCTATGTCTACGGATAGAATACCGTTACCCTGCTTCTCATCACGGTCGCATTCGCAGTCCCAGTCAGTCACGGTGACAAGTCCACGTCTTCTTTTTTCGTCACACTCCCTGAAAACCGAGAAGGGAAAAAAAACCACCCCCTCCCCTGTCTTCATAGGGGCGACAAGGCCAGCCCAGGCCGCTCAGGGTGAGGCGACATCCCGGCGATTGGCAGCGGAAGAAGCTCTGAGCGCCTTTTTTGTGCATTTGGGCCTCGTTGCAGGTTGCAACTTGCAGCTGGCCATTCCAAAGGAGACAAGACGGATGGAATGGGGATGGAACAGGCCAAACGGAAAGGGTGATTCGTGACTTTGGGAGCTGAGAGCCTGAGACTAGACGGGGCCAGTCGGATGAGGAGCCACCTAAGTCACTTAACGCTCCCAGGCCTCCCAGTCTGATCCTCGATCTGTCTACTCCGTACATTCAAATAGGTAGCGTCAAGTTTTTAACCTCTCACACCAAGAACGCGTGGGAGGGGGAGCGGGGAGAAAAAACTGTCAGCTCGGCCAGGCCCACCTCTCTCCCTCGTCTCGTCTCTCACCAGTTATCCGTGAGCTGAGCTCTCACCTCGCGTCTCTCACTCATACTCAGTCACTCTCACAGTCTCACCTCAACCACAGGCCTTGTCCCTGCCCATCTTCTCTCCGGCTTCTTTCCGCCTTTCCGATCCTTCATCCCCTGGGGCCCAGGGGCGGATAACGTGCCTGGAAGTGGCTCCCTTTCTCTCCGCCTTTCCAGCTCCCTTCCTTCTTTCCAGCCCTCCTCACCGCATCGCAGCCAACAACCGGTCAAGGACCGTACAAGCTTGAAGTGAACTGTGAGGGCCGCTGCTCTTACTCCAAATCGCAATGCTCATTATTGATCCCCGGTCAATCCTAACTTCCGATGCTGCCTCTCTTCAGTCACGCCATTACAATGTTTTAATGTTCCTCTTCTTGTTCCCGAGTCACGCCAGTCCTGCTTTTGATGTCTGTCCTTGCCACGATGCTGCTGCTTCAGCTTGCTGTTGCATGACGCACGCACGATGAGGTTGTACAGCTTCACTTTCAAATGGCCCCAGTATTCCCATTTGATGTTCCTGTATTGCTACCCAGCACCGACACAACGTTCCTGACGTCGTTTGTCCAACACCGACAGCTTGGCCGAGAGCCGTTAGCCGCTATTCGTCGTCATGGTGGATTGACATGAACATAAAAATGTGACTTTCTGACAGAGCACTCCGTACTATCTGCCTTGCGTATGAGGGTCTGGACGGGCGGGTGATTGCAGGGCTCCAGATCGGTCAAGTCTCCTCACTATGAGTGACACTATGAGTGAGCTCACATTGATACATCGGTGACTCTGTAGGTTTTGCCCCAAACAGCAAAAGAACATCGTCTTTTCGGGTTGCCGCTTCCGACGGGGCCCTCAACTTACTCGCACTCGGGCAATGCAATTTTACAGAATCCGTGCCACTGTACTCAAGTATTCATCTGTCTAACAATCACCTATCACCGTCCGAGGCCAATGTGCCCTCATCTGCGGCTCTTCCCATTGGGTTCTACTTGCCCCTGTCAATCCTTACTCTCGTCAACACCATCAAGTGCAGCCGCCGATCCTGCCACACACTTCTCGGGCTCTTCTACCACCCCCATTGGGCTGCCATGCACCTCTTGACATTCGTGCGCTCCAAGCTTCAAAACAGTGCTTCCACCCGTGGTCTCGGTCATGGCAGATCGCCTTCCCGCCGCCTGGTGCTCCCGTCAATCTGGCTGCTCAGAAAGCGACACGACAGTAGGTGGCGACTGTCACTCCGGGCTCTAGCGCACTGTTGAACTCAAACCGCTCCTTGGCTTTGACCCAGGGTCCCGCCTTGAAGCAATCCGTATGACTGAGTTACTTGGCAATTTTCTAGACTATCGTCGGCTGTCTCGCTTATCGCTTTATTTGGACCCCATACATAGCTCACCCCTCTAAGCGGTGGATAGACACTTTTGTCCCTTTGCACTTGTTCGTCGCGCTTTTAGACCATGATATCCTTACTGAGATCCATCACCTCATGCTATCAGTCGAGGTCGCCTGGCTTATGTCAAAATCAAGCCATACCCAGCCTCTTTGCTTTACGGCGTTGGTTCGGTGTACGGATACTGTGGAGACGGAAGCTTCCCGCACTGCCCTAGGAGTGATATTATCGAGGTTGACCGAAATTCTCACCACGAAAGATGATTTTGAGGCTGCGACGACAATTATTCGCAAATCAGGTGCTACAGATTGAAGAACTGGTGTGACATTTGATTGGGCTTCTAGACCCGGAATTTGAGCTTATCTCCGCAGGATCTTTGTCGGGTCAGTCTCCAAGCCGGTTGCTGACAAAAGAACTGCTTGAATTTATTGGAGTCATTCCGTCAAGGACATAACTGTCTGAAACCCATAGTTGACTGGATCAGCCCGTGTCTATAGAGCTCAAAGCGAGAACGGTACTCATCAGGTGTGTTGACCAAACATGAGCGCCTCTGAATTTCTTGACACAATCTTTCCGACGAACAGCCTATCAGCTGGCGTGTTCTTCTGTGGGATATGTAGCAAGCCCTTCAGCCAAGGTCTGTCTTCAGCTACTGCGTCTGCCTCTTATTTCAGCGTGAGAACTAACTCAACATCCCCAAATTAGAGACTGCACTGAAGCGACATGTGTCTTACTGTCGACGAACAAAAGACCGACTCCGAAGCCGACCGAAGCCTTGTCGAGAATGCAGCGCAGCCAAACATAAGTGTAGCTTGCAAGCCCGCTGTACGCGTTGCATAAAGAAAGGATTAGACTGCATCTACGCAGAAAACAGAAGTCAAGGGCCGACAGCCAGCACAGAGGCCCTTAGCGCACAAGTTTGGGCGCCGAGTCTTCTGGGCTTGGATCCAGCTAATCCTGAGTCTACTTTCATACCAGAGGCTTCGACTTTTGATCATCAAGTACAATGGGATGCATTCTCGCAAATAGTTGAGCTGCCGGATGAAGTCGCTTTTGGCCACTTCCCTCTGGCGGAACCTGGACTTGGTCACATAACCGAGGACCTGATGGTCGGTGACACCGATTTGTCTCCATCACCAGAACCATACCGGCAGATACTGCCACATTCGATGAACTTTGGCAGGCGCGTGATATCAAACACATCTGGGATCGTCTTTCCACTTCAATTCATCAAGGAACCAAAGCCAGCGGCGAATGGCAGTGCGAACATGATCAAACAGGCACTGCGCTCATATCCTGAAATGATGCTGCGAAGGTCAACATTCCCTCCCTTCATACACCAATATCAGGACAAGAGCCATCTTCCCGAGCCACTAGCAAACTGTATGGGCATTACGATTTTGTTCGTATCTCGAAACCCAGACACTACTTCGTTCTTATGGCAATCAATTCGAAAAGAGCAGGACAGAAACCTCAGCGAAGTTGGAATAGTGCACTCCACCCTGCCAGATGACTTGAGAATGCTGACTTCTCTCAACAGATGGTTAGATATAGCAAAAGAGATATCTTCGCCTCAATACAAGCAGAGCTGATATATATCATCATGCGTGTCGTTGCCGGCGGTGGAAGCACTCTTGTAGACCGTGATTACAACACCCACATGCTGTTGGCTTATGAGGTATCTTCTGCTACCGAAGATTATGAGTACTTGATGGAACGCGTCGCAGCTGACAATTTTTGACTAGGCGCTTTGGAAACAGTTCATGGCCTTGACTGATACACCATGCAGTGTAAAGTCCAAGAGTTCGAAATCATGGGAAGATTGGATCTTAGACGAGTCCCGAACAAGGTAAGTAGATTTCGGTTCCATTATGAAATCAATGTTAAACGAACTGACAAGAAGACGCGCCAGAATTGCTTGCGTGTGGTTCTTGGTAGCGCAAGTAGCCACCGTTAAGGTAGGCATATCTTGCGGCGTTCTTGACACATGGAGAGAATTGACACTACCATGTCACAAAGTACAATGGGTGGCTACAACGCCAGAATCATGGGACGAAGAAACAAAAGCGTTGAGAAGTCTTCCCAAGCGGGGTCAGGATCTGGCATACTTTGGGGAGCTTCTGGAAAGTCATCAACATGCCAACGATGCAGTTCATGCAGAAACGCTTGATAGATGGAATTCAGGAGTCGATAACATCGGGTTGCTCCTGAATTTAGTGACGGCGATGATGTAAATTAAGAGACTAATACGTAAGATGAGCATCATAGATTGCACTACTGGTTTCGCGTGTATTCTAGGACGCGCGGTCTGGTCGGTCTCTCATGCAATTAAAATCGAGAAGGCTAGAACAGGTCCAAGGCTGCCATTCGCGTTCCCTCTTTCCACTGAGGCGGCCTAAACCGATACACTGATGAGCCCGAATATCTTTTCTACCACGCGAGCGGACCCTCCCTGTTAGAGAACGTGCCAGTCGGTCCACCCGGACTTGCAATTGCCAACTCCACAATTCTTTCCGCACCAACAGAAGTCGGTGCTCCGGCGTCCATCCATCCAGTTAGTTTCGTTCTGACCAAGCCGGGGCAAACAGCATTTGAAGCCCCGCCAACATCCTTGAGAATACGGGCATAGTTGGCAGCCAAGATGTTGACAGCTGCCTTGCTGCCATCGTATGCTTTGTAGTCGACGTTGTAGAAGGGCATACTCTCGTCCAAAGTCGACTCCAGAGAACCCATCTGGGACGACACGAAGATGATGCGCGGGTACTCAGATTTGCGTAAGAGAGGAAGAGCTGCTTCACTTAGAACGGCTGTTCCGAAGACGTTGGTTTCATAGGTCTTTCTGAAAAGATCTCGAGTGGAGCTAAACGAATCGGGGTATGTATCGATCAAAATGCCTGCATTATTGATGAGGACATCAAGTTTTCCGTGAGTCTTCTGAATGGACTCGATGGCCTTGAAGATCGATTCGTCAGAGGTAATATCGAGCTGAATAGAAGAAACTGAGCAGTTCTCGGTTTTGAGAGATTCGGCGAGCCTAGAGCCATACTCGAGATTGCGAGATCCTATGATAACATGAAAGCCCGGGATTCTGGCGAGCTGTTGAACGACAGCCTCACCAATGCCGGTGTTACCTCCAGTGACGAGAGCGATGGACATCTTGAAGAAGGAAGTTTCAAAGTCAGGTGGAGTAAAGTAGTCTGAGTGATGTTTTGTAATAGTGATACGAAAATGCGTGTGCTGGATATGACTTACTCCAAATTTCAAGATGTAATAAGCCGGCAAGGAAATATCTCACTTTATATGATCTCCAGTATTGTCTTGTATTGAATAGTCACAATTTAGAAAGCCGCTTATTGACCGAGAGTGGCTCGAAGAGAATCGCATTCTCATTCCGTGCAAAGAGCGTGTAATTGGGCCAATTTCGCCGCCCGCTGAACATGGGCGGAACGGCCAAATTGGGCGGGGAGAGGTGACTCCCGGCCAATTTCGCCGGTGTATTGAGTCTTAGTAGGGTACCTAGTCAGGTAAGGCCTACCCTGCGTGACAGACCAAGGCCAGATTTGGAGAAGGCAGTAAAACATCATTGAATTCAGAAGGATGTACGCCACTGAAAATCTAGCCTAAGAAAATGAAGTGTTACGGTGGCGAGCAGCCATATGATATGTTGAGAGCAGGATCGAGAAGTGCAAAACTCGTTGTCAACTGGGTAGGTAGGTACCCAAGGTGGGCACCACGTACCAATGCGTTCGATGAATTGTAGTGATCCATAGTTCCACTGACTATCTGCGGCGTCAACTCGTCTTGGTTGCTTGCCAGCTAGTGAAGTTTAGGAGTCCTATGACATCAATGGGGGTACATCGACATGTATTACCTGAATCATCAAATCCGTTTGTCTCAAGCTTAGCGTAATTAGGTTGTCAGGACATCGAGACCTGCAGCATCGGCAATGAGTTTTTCTACACATCCAAATACTACATGTCCATATCAAAGGGGAAAATTGCTGTGTTATTTCCACGAGGAAAGAGCGATGAAGCAATGTTTCTTTGAGCGTTATTGTTGTCCCGGCTTTCAGGCAAAGCTACGTGCGAAATACCAAAAGTAAGTAGTGCCCCGCCCTTTAAAAGGTGTTTGGGCAACCCTGTAGTCTCCGAACCCCGTAAATTACTCTCTTCTGCCTGTCCACGTGCGAGATACCAACAGTTTGGCACGATGTCTTTTCAAATGCGACAGTGAACTGGGCAAGAAACATTGACGTAGTAAAACTGGCATAGTTGGCAGGACAATATAGCCAGGGAACACGATTTAGCCTCGGGGGATTCTTTCAATGGCCGTGCCACAGACCGACCAGGTGACCTGAACGAATACCTGACTTTAGTCACTATCCACCTCAACTTGCATTTAACACACAGACAGAGAGCAGCTATGGCCGCCAACCCAATGGCGCAGTAGATAAGGCACACGAACAATGTTGTGTCGGTCAGTAAGTTCATTCTGGCTTCCTAGAATGCGACCGGCGCGTGAAATTTCCCACAATCACTGTGGTGGTGTGCACCTTGCATCTGTGTAAGTCTACATGTACTTGCTAAGTACCCTGATAATTGGGTCTACGTCCTGAGCTTATCAAGTAACCTTCATAGAAAGATCTGAAATCCAGTACAGATTTTATCATGTGAAAACTGATCGAATTTCATGATAGACGGAATCAATCAAGAACATTGTGTTTAGTCTTGTACAGTTACCTAGTTGGCTGCACGGTAAATCGGGCATCCGAGTAGAATTCACGTCGGAAGTAGTCCTAAAGTTCGCTCACAGAGCATGCTACTTAGCGTGACTAAGTAAAGTATTGAGACCTAGTGGCCATTGAGTATTTGATGGCATGCAAGAGAAACACGAGGTCTAACACTACGGCAGGCTGAGATTGACAAATGTTAGCATTGCCACAAATGGTGTGACAGGCACTGACATTTCGTTAATGGGATGAGACGTCCATGCAAGGGCGCATTTTCAGGTTCGACAAGGGAAGTCAAAGAGGCGCATGTGTTCATAGCTTTAGCTCCAAGGGAATAAGAAATTTGTAAAGCACTTCAGATGAACGCTTCTCCATCTTAAAAGAGTTTGCCAACTCACCTTGACTGCTGTCTGGGGCCAGGGACGGACCCTTCGCCCACACCAAAACTGTCGTCGGAATTTTGATACCTTGCACGGCCACTGATTTAATAAGAATGCGGGACACTCTCCGGTCAAACGATTCTTGAGACGTTTGGAAGGTACGCCTCGAGTCTTTGAGGGTGAGGACAGCACATGTTGACACCGAAGACTGCCTCGGCTTTGAAGCAGGGAGAAAATTGGGTTTTGCTCTTCAGCTGGTGAATGAGATGACCTGCAGGAGGAAATCTGAAGCCATGGCTCTTCGTCTATAAAATTCGGGAAGCACCCCTAATGCGACCTTTTCGTGTTCGCAAACCGTCACACAAAGCTACCAGCCTCTTCCAGAAATCAAAGGGGACTACACACATTCTTTCTGCAAATCCATATCAAGTACAACTCCATCACTAGTTCACCATGCGTCCGCTTGCTGTTGTAACGTCTGCTCTGTTGGCCACATATGTCTCAGCACAGCAAGGGGCAGTCTGCTTCGATGACTTGGACTGTTTGCTCTCAGTAAGAAACCTCCAAGGGACCAATCAAGATCAGTATGTTGACTGACTTCATGGAGGGAGGACAAAATGCCAAATGCGTGAGGGCACAGGCTGGCGGTATCACAGGGTGAGTACTTTAGGATTACAGTCTGTCCACGTCCCACGACAAAACAAGACGTCAAGGCATGCACTACATTTGTATTAGGACATTAAACTTACCTGGCTCTAGGAATTGCGCTGGTGGTAAGGCTGCCGGAGCCGCTGGCGCCGCAGCGGGAGCGGGAGCGGGAGCTGCCCAGCCTGCTGGCCAGCAAGCCGCTGCCGCCGACCCCATCGGCTCTTTGTTGGGAGGGCTTACGGGTAAGAAAGCTACAGGGAAGACTACTGGCGGTGCTGTAGCACCGGCAAAGGCGAAAACTGCCAAGAAAGCAAAAGCTCCAGCATTAGGGGCTCGGCAAGCTGCTGCTCCCGCAGCATCTGCGGCTCCTGCCGCCGACCCTATTGGAGCCGTGCTCGGAACGGCAGCAGGCCTGCTGAAAGGAAAGGGAGGTCAACCGGCTGGCGCTGCTGCCCCAGCTGGGTCTCAAGCCGCTGACCCGATCGGGCAAGTCTTGGGAACCGCCGCCGGAGTTCTCAAGGGTAAAGGAGCCCCTGCAGCCGGAGCTGCCGCTCCCGCAGGACAACAGGCAAACCCCCTTAACGCCGTACTTGGAGCTGCAGCAGGAGTATTAAAAGGAAAAGGAGGCGCTCAGCCAGCTGCTGCAGCTCCCGCAGCAGGCGTGGCAGCTCCTCCGGCAGCCGCAGCTCCCGCAGCTCCCGCAGCACCCGCTCCATCGAAACCGGCAGCTGCGGCCCCGGCCCCGCCAGCAGCTTCTAAGCCCGCTGGTTCCACTCCCGCCGCTCCTCCAGCTGCCGCTCCGCCTGCCGGAGGAAAGCCGAACACTGCACCCGCCCCACCCGCTGCAGCTCCGGCAGCTCCAGCCGCTGGGAAGCCCGCCCCTCCGCCCGCCGCAGCTCCCGCGGCCCCAGTTGCAAGCAAACCCGCCCCTCCACCTGCTGCAGCCCCCCCAAAGACTCCAGCTGAGGGAAAACCGGCCAAGCCTCCTGCTGTTGCTCCTCAGCCAGCCCCTGCCGGTGGAAAGCCAGTTCCAGCTGCTCCCGCCGCGCCGGCAGCACCTGCAGGCAAGCTTATTCGCCGCGTTGAGTTCTAGAGTCAGCGGCAACTTTATTTGGAATTTGGAGCACGTCTTTCTTTCTTTTACCCCACTGTTTGACTTATACACACTGGTGTGAGAAAGCAAATAGCGCGGGAACTGCCAGCAAAACTAGGTAGACTACAATACATGGCCTGTAATGGGCATTGAACTTGGCAAAAAGAGGCCACATACTTGCGGTATCTCGAACATTTTGCGCAAAATCAGGGCCCCTCAAAATGTAACATCAAGTCATCTCACAATCTCGAATTTCTAAGGCCACTTGTATTGCACGGGGGCGAATCTCTTTCTCTTTCAAATTGTGATATCAAGCGACGTCTCAAGCGTAAGCCCACCACACAATTGAATTCTTTTGGTTCGGAATCTTGAGAAATTCTCATTCGATCCTGAAAACTTCGCATTGAGCCCCTCCCTCCCCCTCCCTTGTAGCAAGCGAATCGTCACATGATATCGTCAGTTCCGAGTAGACTCAACTGAGGTGTGCAGCGTGTAACAATGCGTTCTCGTTTCCTCATTACGTAGTCTAAAGTTTGTACGGCATGAAGAGGAGTCTTCTTTTAGCCTGTCTAAGGATTTAACAAGTATTGTGTTTCATTCCTGATAATCAGACGCAATCGGACGATAGACATCGCAACGACGATATAGCAAAGTCATCACAGTATTAATCTAATCGTTCTCATTCAAGCAACCTTCTGCAGAACAAATAGATTATCTGCGTCATGGCCAAATCTGAAACATCTGTAATGACAGGCAGACTTGAGGATCTCATTGAGAACCACGATAGACCGAGGAAATACTCAGACAGTAACCGCATATTTGAAAATTCTTTTTTTCCTTGGAGCCACCGTCAGTGATCATGCCCTTTCCGTTACTTGAACCCACATATCCGAAATCACGAATAGCCCCATGCAATTCTTTGCCCGCCATGGACGCGCAGGATCATTCGACGCTAGTTCGAAATTTCGCAACAACTTGACAAAGTCAATACTGTAACTTCACAGCCGAAAGAACAACGACGTGCTCCAGAGTCTGCAACGCACCTCGAAAATAGTTTTAGAAAGTTCCATCTGAGCCACGGGCCTCCCTAGACACATGAACTTACCGTGACCAAAAATCAGGTCATTAGTTTGGATCATTGATGCGAGCTTGTCCGGATCTGTCTCAAACCATCTCTCTGGTCGGAATGCCTTAGAGTCGACGCCGTATGTTACTTGACTTCGATGCATGGCATACCCAGAATAGCCCACACAAACACCACCAGGTAAAAGATAAGTTTCCCCTTTCACTTCAATAGCATCACCTCCAGGGGGAACATCTCGAGAAAAGATATTGAGAACCGGCGGTCGGATCCTCAGAGACTCTCGGATGACTGCTTGCAGGTACGGCAGCTTCTTCGCTTGGCCAAGAGTAATAATTCCCTCGCCGAGTTTTGGGGCATTCCCAGCACGTACTGCCTCGTCAATCTCATGCTGTAGTTTGGCATAAACCCTGGGATTGGTCATGATTTGCAAGAGTGTCCCTCGTATGGCAGCTGCGGTCGTATCCGATCCGGCGATAATCTGCTCCAGTGCCTCAGTCTTCAGCTCATCGCCACTTAGCCCATGGCGTATGAATGATGCAAGCATGTCCGACCTTTCGTCCGTTGGCTTTTCAGTGCGTTCGTCAACATAGCGGAAGCATGCTGCGATCATTTTACCAAAACCGTTCTTGTCCGTAGGTGAAGGAGCTATGAATTTGCCAATGACAGGTGACTGAGCCATCCAGCTAATGCCGATAGCACAAGCCACACTAATAGCAGACAAGCCCTCCTCAGTAGACTTCAGGTAGTCATCCACATCACTGTCAGTCCGCAGCATGCCGAACGCTTTCCCAAGCCCGACAGAACTGATTACATCGAGAGTAAAGTACTGTATCTTTTTGGCCAAGTCCACTGGTGTGACTTTGCTGTCAGTTGAAAGATATTTGGATCTCATGAGCCCGAGAAGCTCCTCAAGGCGTTGATCAATCGTAGGTTCGAGGTCTAGATTCTCTCTGCCGGAGTACTGGTTACCAAGGATCAGATTAGCCGTGCTGTTTGGCCAGAAAACTGTGACTACTCATGATATCATACCCCCGGCGCCATTTGCTTTCTTCTCTTTTCGTGTTTCTCATTGTCCGTTTGAGAGAATACGTTGTCACGCTGGTACTCAATTCGACAAGCGTGATAATACCAATCGGAGCGCTTGTATCCAGGATGTCTATTGACATGGGCCCAAACTTCAGGAGATGAGGTCACTAAAATTCCCGGAGCGATGCGGGCAATGAGACCTTAGAGAGAGTTAGCTTCCAGGAAGTGATGTGCATTATCAATGTTTATGCGATCGTCAGTCAATAGGTGAGCTGGAAGTAGTTGAGCTTACCATATCTTTCATTTATATCGGCGTACCACTCGTGGCAATTGGGGCTAATGATTGCCTTGCTGTGAGGCCAGTGTGTGAGGCCACTCCACCAAGGACCGCCAAGATGTCGAAGTTTGACATAAAGCGCGGCCCTCCGGACGACGCACCAGCAAAGCAAGAAGGCAAGAGCTGGCGCGGCAGCTTTGCCAAGGAGAGTGCCGAAGATACCCATCGCGATTTCCAGAAGATTGTTGATGAGTTGGGCCAAACGTACAATGCAGTCAAAATTATACTCATGACAGAAGTAAAAGATGTTGTATCCCCGCACTTTGGGAAACAGTGGCAATATGTTGGATTGTCAAAAATGCTTTCCAACGCCCCAATCACACCCTGGACATATCCAAGCAACCCACCTCCAACGCCTTGCCCTCTTGCCATTCGATCGCTTGCATGCAGATGATGCATTAGTAAAACTAGAAATAGTTTTATGGCACGTCGTTGGAAACTTTCCCCCTCGCTTTTAAGAAATGCTGCCGGGAAACCGCGCGCTACTTGTTCAACCTGCCAACTCGTTCTTGAATAGTAAAGGTAAAAATTTAATCTTCCGAGCAGCGGTAAGTTTGCACTACCTGCAATAAGCCAAAGAAGGCCGTATGTTGACTGTTGAGACACTAATGAAAGCTGCTGATAATGCTGATATTCAGAAAAGATTACATACATCTCTTATAAATTATGAATGAGAACTTGGGACTTGAAAGGAGTTCGAAAGGTAACATGTAAAGTGGGTAGAGATAGCCAAGGGCTGATTGCTCAGATGAGGGAGCTGAAGAATCTTACAAGCAGTCGAAGCTATTTAAGGGGGAAAAGAAAGAAAGAAATCAGTAATAAGAGCTTCTAACATGGCTGATTTCGATTTGGTGTAATGAGCTTCTATATGAGTGACTAGCACTCGAATAACTAATAATAGAACTAAGTTGAAACAAGGATGATGATTATTGATTGCTTGGTATGTGAGTAGGAATCATCCCCCAAAGTCCAATTGCTAATGTGTGGGCGATGGTGTGACTATGCCAAAGGCTTCCGCCGAAATTTAAGCTTTCTATGCAATTCTTCCGTCTTTACTGTTATTTCAGTAAAGTGTGAACTATTGTTTCCTATTTCACCCACTATGTCCATGTGAATAAGATGTCGTAAGACGATCGTCATATATCAGATAAGTGTAAAACTACTCTAAGTACTTAGGTGAACTAGAGGGACCAGGACATTTGCTGATATGAATAGTAAGTGAACGTAAAATTGAGTATATAAAACCAGCCAGGAAGAAGTAATGAAATCACACCCTCGATCGTTCTTTAATCCGTCATTATGAACTTTCGCCCAGCAAAGCTCAATGACGTCCCACAAGTACATATTGCGGACAGCGGATAGTTTGGGGTGTTCATGCCTTTGCAAAGGTATCGACGGAGTGGACAAAGTCCCATGAAGTTGCTCAATGGTTGGAGAAAGGGCAAGGGGGAGAGGGTCAACACGACTACTACTGGTATGATAATGATTGTGACTCTGGAGCATAACTGCTATTACATATTGCGCGAACAGGTGATTTTGCACCGAGGCACGATACCCTACTGCCTGCCTTCTAATCTTCAAATGAGAAACATGAATGAATTGACCACTTGAGCAACAGTACAAGAGCATCTTTCTACCTATGAGAACCCATTTCAAAGTTGACAGATGAAGTACCCACCAGATTTAGTTATCTCGCGAACAACTACGCGCAACCTTCTGGATCAGTCCTGACTGCGAGGTGCAGTGTCATATTTGAACAGCACCAGGTAGAGGCGATTCACTCTCATATGACAGCTTTTCACCGTGGTCAATTTTCTGGCTTCCCGCGCAGTCTCAAGTCTTAGCTGTGTTGGGTACAAAAGCATTTTAGTAATCAGAAGATGGAACATTGGGAGAAAGGGAATTGATCTACCTCACGGTCCTCACCGAGGTGATGGATGATTAGAGCCGAGCCATAGCTCGATCACCAGATGGTGGGCGTAATGGGCCATAAGAGATAAGACAGCGGTCGGAAAACAATTGCAGCGGGCGGAATTCAGCGGGACTTAGCGGGAGGAACAATCGGCAGATCGAGATACCCCCGGAGATGTGGGGACATAGGCGGTGCTCAACTCCCGGGATGTGGGCGGAGCAGCGCGGGGTTTTTCGAAGGATTTCCTCGCATCCGGGGTGGAACAGACGTCAAATTAAGGAAGGTAACATCCTCGTTGGTCGGCAACGCCCGATACTCATAAATATAAGCTTGAATCGGCCAATCCCCATCGTAAGAAAGAACAATGGTAGTCAACCGCCAAGGCTGCCAAGAGAGCCAAGAGCTGGCAGTGGGAACTGCAATGACCGCAATTGAGCCCAGCTTTACGCGTTGTCCGCCAATGATTTGTTCACGATTGGCGTAAGAGGCAACTCGATCAACGGCATCTGCTAGGTTCAATCACACCGTTGCACAAGATACGAACGGGACTCAGGACTTGGTGCCTTTCTTGGCTACAGTCACCGTCTTGGCATTGCCTGTTAGATGGCAAAATCCGCAATTCATCTTGGCAACTCGAGATATGCCGCCCAGCCGGCTTATCACGCAAGGCCGTTTGGTCCTGTCGTCAATTTCAACGGTCTGCAACTGGACAAACTCAGCAGGTGGCTAACTTCTGAGCATGAATCAACATTCCAGTGATGGAGCCACATTCGAGACCACTAGCCAAAAGAGCGTTGAACAGTCCCCAGTTGACGTACGACGAGCCTGGCCATGATGTTGCTAGACTTTCGGTCTCTTCCATTTGAGGAAGGTTGAAGTCGAGATACTCAGGCGCTCGTGATATGAACCTTGAGAAGGTACGTGAACTCAACAGCAGACAGTAGACGGCAAAGAACTTATATAAAGTGTCGAAACATCAGCCATCAAGGTGTTCTTTCATCCTCATCCCACCCCAGCCAAGCCAACTCCAGTCAGGTGTCCGGTCTCTTTTTTAATATGCAGTTCAAGACCCTCTTCGTCTCCGCCCTTGCGGCCGCCTCCACTGCTCTTGCCCAGCGTTCCTGCGGCACCCCTTCCCCCACGGAAGAGCAGATCGAGGTTGCCCAGCGCCTTCAGCTTAAGGAGGACAACGCTCGCGTCGAGGGTAACGCTACTCGCCTTGCTCCCATAACGGTCAATGTCTACTGGCACGTCATTGCCACTTCCAACTCGGTCAGCGGTGGTTACCTTACCCAGGCCACCCTGAACGCTCAGTTGGATGTCCTCAACGAGGCTTACGCTCCTCACGATGTCTCTTTCGCCCAGGCCGGTGTCGACTGGACCATCAACAGCCAGTGGGCTTCCGACAGCGCCGAGCTCGCCATGAAGAGATCGCTCCGCAAGGGCACCTACGCCGATCTGAACGTCTACTTCCTCCCCGGTACCCCCTACCTCGGATACGCCTACTTCCCCCAGACTGTTACCACCGGTTCCTCTGCTTTCTACTACGACGGTGTTGTCATCCGCTCTACTTCTGTCCCCGGCGGTAGCCTGCCCCAGTACAACCTTGGCCACACTGCCACCCACGAGGTTGGCCACTGGCTTGGACGTAAGTTTTTCCAACTCTGGCAGATATTGAATGAAGCTGACTTCCCCATTAGTCTACCACACCTTCGAGGGATACCAGTGCGGCGGTAACGGTGACTATGTCTCTGATACCCCCTTCGAGGCTGAGGAGGCCTACAACTGCGAGATTGGCCGTGACACCTGCCCCACCCTGGCTGGCACCGACCCTGTCACCAACTACATGGACTACTCTGACGAGTAAGCTTTCTATCTATACGATCGGTGATGAACCTCCATACTGACTACTACACAGTGACTGCTTCACCCACTTCACGGATGGCCAGGAGACTCGCATGCACAGCTACTGGGACACCTACCGCGCTTCTTACCAGTAAATGGTTCAAGTCGGTAATGTCAAGCCACTGATGCAGCTAGCCTTATTGTTGCGTCTCGAGTCGAGAACATCAGCTATGCCAAACCAAGCGATGTCAAGGGAAGACTCCGCCAACGTGATACCGATCGTTGGATAAGAATCATCTGGGAGAAGAAGATGAGGTGCGATTCCAGTACATACTTTACTACTTGAAATTAAGTGTATGTCCATTACGAACTCTGTCAGAAGCAAAGTTTGTCTTGCCAAGTGAACGCTCTGCCTAGGTGTGTTGCCTGTAAACACGTGCAAGTTCAGAAGGACGGCATTGCCCACTTTGGAACGGCCAGTTCAGATTCCAGTTGCCTTGTTCCACCCCGAGTTCTCTCATTGAGTTGAATATTTCATCAGCATACCCCCTCTGTTCCTGAGCCCGCTCCCTGTTACCCGCCTCACGATACCAGCGGGCCATCATGCGTCGGATCTGTAAGGCCCTTGTTTGGCATTCTCGATCGCCGTTTCGCAGCTTCTCGGCGAGAGGAGTTAGACGACCATGCCAGAGGTCAATTTTTCCCTTCTCCTTGTCAATTCTCGCCAGTAACTTGGAGGCAAGCACGAAGCCATATGTTTCCCCCCTCCAGTGTGGAACAGGCCCGAGTTCCTCAGATCTCTGACAAAGGTCAGAAGCCAGCTGATATGTCAAGGTGATATTATGCCCATGATAGTACGCAACGTACATGTACTCAGTCAGAAAGAAACTTGTACGCTCATCAGAAGACCCAAATTCAGTTCCGGAGCGAGCCAAGAGAGTCCCGTAATTCGGCAATACATTATCAGCAAGCGCTGCGGGCCAGTATCTCCAAAATCGAGCGACCATAATGAGAACCACCGGATGCGATCCGCCGAGTAGCTTTTGAAACGAGTCCGTGCAGAACTTGAAGACGCGTTCAATAGCTAGCTTCATTCTATCGAGCGAGAAGACGCGTAACGAGTTGAGACAGTCTACCATTATACTAGATCCTTTGCGAATGATGAAGAGTCCTGCTAAGCTGGAAATGACATGGCCGACCAGGTGATCGTTTTGAGGTCCAAGACGTGTGGATGGAATACCCACTTTTTTGTTCTCGATACGGTATGAAATCCCTCGCAAGTATAGTATGATCCTCCATAGGTAAACCAACATCCAGGGATCCTCCTGTTGTGCAAGCTGGTCGATGCTTTTGAAAACGTTCAGAAGAGTTCTTTGGCACTTCTGCTGTGTGCCATTTCCCTGGCTGATCAAAGTTGAAGCGCCATGGCGTTGATCGGCAATCGCTGTCCACTCTGCCGAGTAGTCCTCATGACCCTGTGGGGGCGTCAAACCAAATGAGTTCACTTTCCATCCAGATGAAGTCTCCCCTGGACGGCCCTGATCGAAGAGGCCCATGAGATGATTGCCTGTCGAATAGAGCATGCAGGCCAAAGCTTTCAGCTCTGCAGTTGGCCAGTCCAGCACCAGATCATGCGTACGCCGTGAGAATGCTGCCCCCGATTGGTATTCTGCTAGTATCTGGGGCTTTGCCCCCGCACATCGTCGTCGCTTGACGAGTGGCGTATTCAGACCGTCCATGCGACTTTAAGGTTGACTCGATGATTCATTCTTGAAAATATGCCACTCCTTGAGCTTTTTCTTGTACATGGAGTTTCTGCGGTCACAAACTAAAATGAGTCAATAACTCTGAATAAATGGAGGAGATTGACTGACGAGGCGTCGAAGCCGAACACCACATGCATATACCCCTCAACCATACTAGTGCTTTTCTTAACCCTAGTTACACCAAGCATGACCAGAAGGATATCTGTTTTTCTCGGCTCATGGTCATTTCGAAGACACGACAGAACAGCCTTGTTAGGAGGGCTCGATTGCGAAAGGTCATCGTCCTCTAGTCTCGGACTGGACACTTCCATGATTGTTCCAGCTATTTGATACCTTACCATAGTAGGCGAATGAGCCAGGCAAAATGGAACAAGAGTCAGTGGAGTAATGCGAGAGCATTGAATTCTTAGGGCATGGTGAATAGTCCAAGCTCATTCTCGTAAGTTTGTCGAGAGAAGGCTATTATAGGCGGGCGGGGGAGCTTGAGATTGGGTGCGCCTTTCATCCAGAACTAAACATCATTTCGTCTCTCAGAGCCATGATAAAAGCTATCAAAATAACCAGGACATAAAGTTCAAACATATAGTTACCATCTACATTACAACAACTACTCAAAACATGTGCATTATGTTATCTCTTTCCTCGCCTCTAATGCTTTAAGCTGTTCCAACCGCATACATGTAGCAAGGTGCAGCCTAATACCAGAATAGTATCAGGCCACGCGCCCCCAGGCGCTGCGGCCAGGTAGCCTTGGAGATTGTCCTGAACCCAGATTAAAAAGCAGGGCTGCAATCAAGCTGCTTGTGAATACTGATCTGCAAAAGTATCTGATTACCTAATGACGGGACTAGGATATACGGGCCCCCGTGCAAGCTACCTTAGGATAGTGATTGAGGGTATTAGTGATAGAACCGTAGTACCTCGGGTTGGGACATAGATATAGGTTTGTTTATCCTTAAACCCAAGGTCATAGCGGGCTCTCCAAGACATCTGTCTTAAGACGACTACATTCTTCAATGAGTAGATGTGTACGATATAATTAAGAATACTCCTCCATCTATTGATAATCTAGCAATTTTGATTTGTGACTGGCAAGGTAAACCTCTTGTGGAGTGGCTTGTGAAGTACTTAAAAAGACCTTGTTTCCTTCCTCATAGAAAACAAATACCCGCCAAGTCCGCCGAGGCATGCCATATGATCGGCAGCGTTCTCGTATCAAGTAGATGTATATTTAGACCCCAATTGGTTCGCCAAAGTACCACAAAGTTACTGGATTCATAAGTAATCCCCAGCCTTATCTTATGGCAATCCCGCTTATCTCGACACGTAGTAGCTGTCTAGAGGCACGTGGGGTTGGATGATGCACCAGGAGCACGAGACACGCAACGGTTATCACCGCATTTGGGGACGTAGCTACAAGCAACTGGTGCAGGGCCGCAGCAGTCGCTGCTCTTATTGCATTTGGCTAACTCTGCCTCGCATCGCTCTGTATCTCATTGAGTCAATAATAACGTAGCGCGGATCCAGTGGGGGTTTCACTGACTTTCGACTACGAAAAGATTACCGTCGTCATTATTAGAGGTAGGTGGCACTGCGGCAACGAGGGTGGCGAAGGCTAGAAGAGCGATCTTTAGAGTCGAAGGCATCTTAATAGTGTTAAGGGGGGCGGTATTGAATGATTGCTTGCAGGATAGTAAAGAAGCACGATAACAAGGTAACACATAGGGATTGTACACGAACGTATTTATTGAGGTATATGTAGTTGACTGAGATTTGTTTGACCGGAGTGCTCGGTAACTCTCAATTAATTACTTTAATCCTATTGTCAAGTGAAGTGGGTTATCGAGCAACCTAAGCCACCAAACCAAGGCTGACTTTAACTTCGGTGTTACCGAATTCTTGAGTTCAAGCTGGAATAGGTCGTCTGAAAACTTCTTATATTAAAGCAATTCATTCATCTCCCCAAGCCCACTACTTAAGCTTATCCCGTCGGCCGTGGGCCAACGTCAGTACAAATCAGTACAAACTCCTCCAGTTTTTCTCCAGCTCGGAGACAATCCTCGATTTTTAGTTTGCGGGAACAAGGAATATCAAGTCGGATTATCTTATAATTCGCTTAATTCCCTCACGGAGATACGTACCTTTGTACTGACGTCGACCCGCGACCGGTGGGATACGGGACGACCGGAGACTTAACCTTTAGCTTAATGTTGTACGTAGCCATATATAGGACGCAATGCCGATAATCTTGTGCCGTGCGTCTAAGTCTATCCGTGGCGCCATGACTGGAGCCGGAGCAGCGATACGTCTAGGTAGAAGCTCACCTGCCCAAGTACTTTCCACGTCAATGGTGCCGTGCTCCCCTCCGCCCCCCGTACAGTCTGCTACCATCGTCGACTACACTAGTAGCAGCGCAGCCAGATCAACAACGCTATAGAGTATGTCCAACAGCTAGTCCGTAGTGACCCTTGCGCGCCAATACTGAACGCGGTCGCCTACCCAGTCAACTACGCCGTTAGCAGGTAAGTATATTATAGTTATACATCTGCATATCGAGAATCCTATGCATCGGCATTAGCTCAGCCTTGGGGGCTCCGAACGTACGGGTAATAAACCTCTTGTTGGTATCCCTATTACAGGGTAATTGGTTCGAACCGTGGGTTGACGAAGAGATCAATTGAACTATATGAATTTCTGCGTAGGTATAAAAAGGAGGTTCCAACCGTAGGTTGGGTAGGCCGCGATAATCGGAAGTAGGGGCCGTAATTGGCCCCTGCGCGGTCGGCCGTACGCCGAGGTCGAATTGGACTTCCAATCCGACACCTCTGCTCCATACCCAGGACATAACCAAAAAAACTCCGTACATCGTCGGCCTCGCATACGACCCGAATAATGCCGTCTCTCGACACATGCCTTATACACAACAAGCATACGTGCAGCTTAGATAATGGCTGAGTACTTTGCCGTGCAGTCCGGAATATCCCCCTAGCCGCCGCGAATAAATCTATTTTTCTTTTTTGCACCTCACTATTCTTTAATAATTGCCTGAAGGTTTGAGCAATTCATGCTCTTATGGTACATTGCGCCTAGTGATTGATTATCTCCGTCTATCTATATATTTGATTCTGGTCAGCTAGTAACAAAGCCCCTTTTACCAAAGCGACTGCTGCCTACCTTATAAGGACAAACAGGCTTACTTCCCAGTAGCATTTTGCCGAAACCTCGAAGTAGCTGCGGCCTTTCCTGCAAGCTGTTTGATGCCCTGCCCGCCAGTAATGTCAAAGACTGAAATGTCCGCGCCAACCTCCTTGGTCATCCATACTCGAAGTTCTACAGCCACTAAAGAATCTACACCATACGAATTCAAGGGCTTTGAGGGATCAAGATCTGCCAGCTCGTAGCTGAGAATCTTGGCCAATTGTCCCAGCAAAGCATCAAGCACGGCTTCCTCAGCATCTCCCAGGGACTCGGCGGCAGCGATGAGGTCGCCAACTGAGCGCTTAGCAGAGCTTTGCTTGCCGGGCATGGAACCGCCATGGTGAGCGCCGTGAAGAACTAAGTGGTTATACATCGGCTCATGCTGCCATTTAGGCTGTTCAGCGCCTTCATCCGCCGAGTACTTGGGCAACCAGAGCCTGGGAATGACTTGAGCACCCTTTACCTTGAGCTCTGCGCTCTCGGACCTGGGGCGACAGTGGTAATCCAGCGCATTGACAAGCTCTTCCACAGACATGCTAGCCCAGCCGATCGAGAGAAGATACTCCCTCAACATTGGTCTCGCAGCGACCATACCAGCATCGGTCAACACTGGGGCGTCGAGGGCGATTACGTTGTGGCCTTGAGATGACAAGAAGCGCGCCATGGCGTCTTGGTACGAGTTGCCCGCGCTATAATTCGCTTGGCCGTTGTTGCCGGTGACGCTGGTGAGAGACGACAACATGACGAAGAAGTCGAGTGTTGAATCGTCGTTTTTGGTAGCAATGAGGACTTCCCACAAGTTCCTACTTCCCGCTACCTTGACGTTGACTGCTGCATTCCACTCCTCGAGGGTCATTTCAGCGAAGACGTTGTCCTATCAAGAGGTATTAGTAGTGTCGGCGAGAAATGCTGCCAGGGGGACCATTACTTACACTGAGGACCGTAGAAGCCTGGATGCATCCACGCACTGGCGGCAGATAAGATAGCGCCGAAGTGATGGCCTGCTCAAGTTCCTTCTTATCGGTGATATCACAACAAGGAGCAACAACCTTGATGCCATCGCTTTGGAGACTTCTGATGAGATCCTTGGCAGCTTCGTCGTCGGGCCCTTTTCGTGAAGTAACGACAAGATTGCGCGCGCCCTGGCTAACCATCCAACGAATGATTTCCAGGCCAAGACCACCAAAGCCGCCAGAGACAATGTAGGTAGCATCCGACGCGAACTTGGCACTGGGTCTCCGTGGCTCAACCACTCGGACCAGGTCCTCAGAGTGGAACTCAATGAGGATCTTTCCAATGTGCTTGCCAGACTGCATCAACCGCATGGCATCTTGGATCTTGGAAATGGGGTATTTCGTGATTGGTGTGGGACGCTCGAGATCGCGGCCAACGACACTCTCCATGGCGCGTGCAAAAAGCCCATCTAGTCGTTCCGGGTCCGTTTGTCGCATGTAATTCAACTCAAGGGACTCAAACCTCACGCCTCGGGCAAAGGTACCCATAGAGATACGAGATCTGGACTCAATATCGGCCAGACCAATCTCGGCAAAGCATCCAAACGGCGCAACAATCTCCCAGGTGGCACGAAGCGTGTCACCGGAAAGACTGTTGATGACAATGTCGACTCCCCGGCCTCTAGTCAATCTCTGAATGCCATCTTTGAAGGTCAGATCACGGCTCGAGAAGATGTGATCTCGAGGTATCTGATATGTCTCCTCGAGAAAGTCTCGCTTCGCGATGCTGCCAACTGTTGCAAAGATCTCAACACCCTCACGTTTAGCCATCTGAATGGCAGCTTGACCAACACCGCCAGCCGCCGCATGAACCAGCAAGCTAGGCTTCTGGACGCGTCTCACCCGCTTCTCTAGTTCTCCAATGTCGTAGAGACAGGCATATGCCGTTGTGTACACAATGGGAATCACCGCGGCTTCGGCAAAGGAATGGTCTTCGGGTACCTTGGCCAGAGTGCCCTCAGCACCTCTGCCGTACGTAGAATATGCACCGTTGAAAGTGAAGCCAAACACACGATCGCCAGGCTTGAAGCGCGTGACTCCCGAGCCGACTCGGGTGACGATTCCCGCGGCCTCGAGACCCACAGGTGTCTCTTGGATCTTTCCGAGCATGACGGCCAAGTCCTTGAAGTTGACGGCAGTAGCCATAGTCTGAAATTCGACCTCGAGGTTGTCTAGGGGAGTAGTGTGCAGGTGGTCGTTGGCGAAATGGAGCGAACTCAATAGTCCAACGGTTTGGACCTGAAGTCGTAGTGGTCGACTCGGATTCGCGCCAAAAGCAACCTCAGATGTGTCGCCAGCAAAAGCCTGCTTGATGTGCCTAGTGATTGTGGAGACCTCGACGAGGCGTGGAACAGTGACCAGGCCATCGGCAACCCTGTACATGGTTTCCACAGAACCCTTGCTGCTCGAAAGGTGTGCGTCTACTATGGCGATCCTGTCTGAAATGACGCCGTTGCTCTCTTGTGGATCGAAGGTGAGAGTGACAAACTGAAGTTCGGGTTTCTCCAATCGGATACTCGCAGCAAAGCCGTTGACGAGGGCGGTGTCTGGAGAGAACTCTTTGTTGACCCAGAGCAGGCGCTTTCCAGTAATCATGGCTTTCATAGCCCTCAAGATCTCGTTGTTGGCTGAAACAAGTAGACGCGTGTCCAGTTCCGTAAGTACGATACAGGTCCTCTGAGAGATCTCTTCCTTAGACGCTGCTTCTGTGAGCTGAGCGTATTGTGGGATCGTAGCGGTCTTGACCGACAAGCCCTTTGACTGCAAAGAGGATGCCAGCTCCTCAGCCACGTCGCGCTGGACTGGCGAAGAGAGATCTCCTACGATATAGTAGCTTCCAGATGGCGGTTCAATATCAGTTCCATGAGACGACGGGGTGCTCGCTACTAGGGTGGTCGTCACCAAGACTGATGAGCCCTGATCACAAAGCACCGCGTCGATGCTAGCAAGCCCGGTCTCGCCAAGATACTCGCCCCAGCTCCTTGCCACGATAGGACTGCTCGCCGCCGTCAAGATGAACTTACCACCAGGTCTCACGAGACTGAGGCACATGTTCAAGAACCCATCGATGAGCGTATTGGGTATCAAAGACACCGGTACAAGTAAAAGATCATATGACGCCACATCGAAGCCCTGGGAAGTTGGATCCTCCGTGATATCAAAAGTCTTATATCGCACATAATCTTCCGAAATGGGCTTCTTTGATTCATCCACCAATGAAGACGAAGTTGCGGCAAAGTCATACTGCGCGCAACGCCGAGACAACGTGGACAGAATATCTCCCGTGAAAGAAGAAGCTTGTTTGTTAATGTCGAGGAACTTCATCGAAGGATCCTTGTGAGCCAGGACACTGAGATACTTCTGGAACCCTCCAGGCCCCGAAAAAGCTCTCTCTGTCTGTTCTGTATCGAGGAACTCGGGATCCAGAGCCCAAT